AATTTATTTTACTTACATCGAAAACGTGCCTGTATTATTGAAATATCATTCAAAGGATAGTATCGAGCAAACTATTTCTCTCTAAAAATATACGTTTACCAATGAAATCAAACATCGTACTCTTGTAATCGAGCGATGAATCACGAAACAAACAAGGAAGTAATCCGTTGTTGCGTGGCGTATAATATATCTCAGACATGGCGTGATATGAAATTTTCCAAAACTTTGGAACTACTTTGGTGAATAGAGATAGTTTCATAAACAACACACTTTCCAATTCTGTATCGCGTGGATTCTCTCTACGGGGGTTACCCGTGGTGTACCCTGTGGGCGAAACAAGCGTTTCGCAAATGCCCCGGTCAGATTTTCATTAGACTTTCCAGAGGAATTTCACTGGAAATCGGATTAACCAATTTTAGTTTCAACGAGGAGATACAAGAGATTTTAATTAGCAATAGGGACAGATATGACGGATTACGAGTTTGCGTATCTGAATCGTTCATTAGGAATTCGCAGAAAGTTCGAACCGAGCAGGTTAAAGAATTTTATCTCCTATTTAAAAACACTTTCAAATATTTAAACAATTGCTAGATTATACACTAAGATGCATTCGTTCTTCCAATTGTTATTAATAATACCTTAATTTCTAAAAAAAAAAGGGGGAAGATCAAGATGGAACATTTTTAAAAAAAGAAGAAAAAATTGTTGCAAAGAGCTATTCTTCCCTCGTTTCGTATTTCCATTGTATATGGATATTACGTGGCTGTCGATGCTTTTGTTCATCGATGCAATAATAGTCGATAGCTTTGTTTTGAAAACTATATATTCACGTTGAAATACGTAATATCGAAAGCGCGACGGGACAAAGAAACGCGAAGAATCGTTACGTTAAACGGAATTTGACAAAGGCGCGGCGCAATGTCCAAAATCCAGTCGCGCGGGGGATCCGAAATGCACTTGCTAATTATTTGGTTGTTGAGTATCTAACGAACCGTGACTACTCATTGTCCGGTTCGTTAACACCCCAACCTCGCGTACACCCTTGCTCCTCGCTGGCACACGAACGGAACCAGATAATTACTCGGTCCAATTGTAACGTGCATGACATCCTACCTATTCTTCCGTTTCGAAAATAATACCGTTCCTCGATACGTTTCACGACGTGCTGCTTTGTTAGAGGGGTGATGCGGACGAAAAGATCTGCGTACGATTAATTGGACATCTTCTTAATCGAATATTTATCCTTCGAACGGTAATTTTGTTATATCGTGATATTCTATTAAAACAATTGTACTTTTTTTAATTATGAGGAAATTTCTTCAATTAAGAATGCAATTGACTCATAATTATATATATATTATATATATAAGAATTCTTTATTCTATTTTAAACTTTAAAAAATTAAAAGAAAGACAAATTTCTTTCTTTTAATTTTTTACATTTCAAATTTTTAATGTATAATTTTCCGGATTAAATATTATTAATTTTCACATCAATTATGAATGAAATTTGAAAATTATTCTATATCAAAATGATTGTATTTCTTCAATTAAGAATGCAATTGACTCATAATTATATATAGATATAAGAATTCTTTATTCTATCTTAAACTTTAAAAAATTAAAAGAAAGACAAATTTCTTTCTTTTAATTTTTCACATTTCAAATTTTAATGTATAATTTGCCGGATTAAATATTATTAATTTTCATATCAATTATGAATGAAATTTGAAAATTATTCTATATCAAAATGATTGTATTTCTTCAATTAAGAATGCAATTGACTCATAATTATATATAGATATAAGAATTCTTTATTCTACCTTAAACTTTAAAAAATGAAAAGAAAGACAAATTTCTTTCTGTTTCACATTTCAAATTTTTAATGTATAATTTGCCGGATTAAATACGTATTATTAATTTTCACATCAATTATGAATGAAATTTGAAAATTATTCTATATCAAAAGGATTGTGTTTCTTCAATTAAAAATGCAATTGACTCATAATTATATATAGATATAAGAATTCTTTATTCTACCTTAAACTTTAAAAAATGAAAAAAAAGACAAATTTCTTTCTGTTTTACATTTCAAAATTTCGCATATTTCTTCAATTAAGAATTATACAATTGACTCATAATTATATATAGATATAAGAATTCTTTATTCTACCTTAAACTTTAAAAAATGAAAAAAAAGACAAATTTCTTTCTGTTTTACATTTCAAAATTTCGCATATTTCTTCAATTAAGAATTATACAATTGACTCATAATTATATATAGATATAAGAATTCTTTATTCTATCTTAAACTTTAAAAAATTAAAGAAAAGACAAATTTCTTTCTGTTTTACATTTCAAAATTTCGCATATTTCTTCAATTAAGAATTATACAATTGACTCATAATTATATATAGATATAAGAATTCTTTATTCTATCTTAAACTTTAAAAAATTAAAGAAAAGACAAATTTCTTTCTGTTTCAAATTTTTCACGTATAATTTGCCGGATTAAATACGTATTATTAATTTTCACATCAAAATTTTGCCACAAATTACTCTCAAATAAGAAAAACTCATCAACGACAGGTTCAAAAGAAACTCAATAAAATATAAAAAAAAAGAACAAGCAAATCCAAGGATATATATACATATATATCCTTGATCTAGCCTATATCTATCCATCTACCATTTTTCATCTAGAAGATTCCTACGTCACGACGTAAAAAAAAAAAGGGAATCCACCATTTGTCTCTATTAATTCACGCTACATTTATCGCCCGAAAGCTTTATTATCGCGCGATAAACGCGTTCCGATTTTATTCCCCGAGAAGGATTCGAAAAAAAATTGTTTCATCGTGAAAAGATACCCCGACGAAAAATTAAACGAAGCGAGCGATCAAGACCGAAAAATGAAGAAAGGGTGGTTGCGCGAAAACGCTGCCGTTGTGGATATTCGGGGGAGGGGGGAGGAGGAGAATATTACGAGAAAGGGAGCAACGTGGAGGAACCTAAACGAGTCTAAAGTACCCACTTCTCTCCTACTCAAACTCGTTTCACAACGCGAGCGTAACCGAGTGTTTTCCTCGATGCTCCTTGACCGAGTTTCTGATGGTTTCGTTGTGGACACAGAGACACGTATATACACGGTGGATCCCCTAAACGCGACACGGTTTCACGGATACACGTAGAGTGTGAGCCCCTGTGAAGTGAGGAGGCCGCTGCAACTTTGTATCCCCTGCGAAATTTATTTGGTCGGCTGGCTTTTGTCAAATTTCGAACGCGACACGAATGCGCAAATTTGTCGGCTTGTTTGCTTTAATAATTTTGAGAAAATTA